TCCATGGGCTGCTGACACTTTGTGGAGGAGCGCATGCCCACACTACTACTTTGCAGAATGTATGAACCCACAGTCCCACACTACTACTTCGCAGAATGTATGAACCCACAGTCCCGCACTAAGTTCAGTTCCAATTTTTGTTTTTTGCCTTTCTTCTTCTGTGGACCTGACACCCCTGCCATAATTCCCTCACTGAGGGCATATATACTCACACTACTACTTTGGGGTAGGTCCTCTACCTGATATCACGTCCAAAGGGGTGTTTGCCTTTTCTCTTTTCCCTTTTTTTTTTGTGGATGTGAGCACGTCGCTGTAACCCCGTGCTTGTTCTTTTTTGAAAGTCTGGCCGTGTTTTTTTTTTTTTTTTTTTTTTTTTTTTTTTTTTTTTTTTTTTCATGAGTACCACGAAAAAAGAAAAACAACAGAACCCAGGCTCGGCAAAACTCGGTGCGCAGTGAAAATCAGGGTCGGCAGAAACAGGCTCAGAGGTAGTAGCGGTTTACAAACGATTATTTTCCATCCAGTGTCTTCCAAGGCCATAACCTCTCTTTCTCACGAGGCTTTCACGTCCTCCTCTTAGCAGTGTCCTCCACAAACCAAGCAACCTTCTATTTCACCCCAATTCTGGTTTCCTAGCATATGTGGTGGCATCATGCTCGACTTCCTCCTCCGGCTCCCAGGCGGTAGTGCAAAAGTGGTGACCCACCAGACTCCCTCTCGTAGTGAAGCACTGACATCGATGCGACGAAGCCCTATTGTATTCCACGCCTATAGGGCCGGACCATCTCAGCGTCTGGCCCTGCACTTGCATCAAAGGCCTGCCTCGAAACCACTACCAGATCTTGTCAGATTCACTTACTGTAAACACACGGTGCACAGTCCGTAGGCTGGTTTGCGGTCTTGCATGCCGAGGGTTGCTTCTCAGGCGGGAGTGTAAGTGAGTTGTCACACCAACATATGGATACATACTAAAACATTACAGCAAGGGAAGACGAAACAAGTAATAATGTCGTTATGGTGGGGAGGCCCCACACCTCCCCCCCCCCCTCCTTAACTGTTCTGTTTTAGTATGTCTTGTTCTTTTCGAATGCCAATCCCCTTGCCGAGGACAAAGGGCATGTGCGGACGCAGTGTGTTTCTGTACTCGTTATAAATCGCCATTGCCCCGATGCCATTTTAACAAACCGCCACCTTCCTCTGAGCCCGGCCCATCGAACCAAAACAATGTGGGTCTTATCTACATCTGGTGGTGGTATCTGGACTTCAGATCTATCTTGCTGAAATATGTAAATCCTTGCACTCAATCCAAGAGGTCATTGATGCAGGGTAGGGGCTCTGCATTACACACTGCGATGGTATTGAGATCCTCTAACCAATGCACATCCTCAAAGTACCTCCCTCCCTTTTAGAGTACGAATAAAGCAAGAGACCCAATGGGAGAAGTACTCGGCCTAATCCATCCCTTAACAGTTAGTTCTTTTAGTCGCCTGCAAAGCTCACCTAACTCCATAGGAGACATCCTGTAGATCCTGCCATTGGGGGTCTTACTCCTTGGGACAATTTCTATCTCATGGACTATCTCCCTCACAACTCCAGCTGGTTCCTCCTGTAGGTCTGGATGCTTCACGACGACTCTCGCTATCTCTGGAGGGATCTCTACAACATATCCGCTTCTTGGTTTTGCCTGTGGTAATTACAGAGTGCACTAGCACACAGGCTTTTGAAGGAATCTTCCATCTTATCAAGTGTGTACCTCTTTAGACATAGTTTTCAAACCAGGAGACTTATATAGCATATACTCTTACTCTCCCAATCTTTAGACATAGTTTTCAAACCAGGAGACTTATAT